TATACAATGTCGTAATGCTTGATTAAATTGGTAATTTATTGCAGTGATCCACGAAAGAGAATGAAAAAGTCAAGATATTGCCTTTTTTCGCTCTACGCGATGTAATATTGGGAGATTTCTACTCGATTTCCCTTTGATCTTTCACTCGTGCGCCCGAAAGTGTGGTGAAAAGCAGACTAAGTCACTGTTGTTTTTCTCTTCACCCCGCATTTTTCCTGTTTCTCTATTTTTCACGCTTCACTGTTTTGTATGTACTTCCCTGAACAAATTCTACCCTCAGTGCAGAATAAATGCTCATATGTGAATAATATAAGTGTGCGTTGAGTGAAAATTCTATTCCATTTTATGCGGCGCGCGATTCATGAATTGAAAATAAAATCCCATAATTATTTCACAGCTTCGCACTTGAATTGTGCGAAAGCTTTAAGCTTTTTAAATTTGGGACTTTAACAGACCACGAAAAGTGGAATGAATTGGAAAAGCCGAGTACATGAAATAACAATGGCAAATCCAATTAAGAGTCTTTAAGATGCTTTCCTTGCCCTCTTGGGCGATTGATTGATACATTTGTGATGCTGTGAGGCGCTTCAGAGTGAATGGCATTAGGACCGAAATTGAGCTCAAATTGCTGCAATTAATCCTTGTTGTATTTGATTTTCTTTGAAACACCACTTCCGTCCGCTCAGCCTCAAACGACGCTTCGTGGCAGCTTCAGTGACTGGCATTTAGGTTTGGGGTGTACATTAAAAATCCTTGTTTAACATGAGAACAATTTCCTCTGCCATCTCGTTGTTTTCATCCTTCCTCAACAATACACCCACTTAATAATCTCTTTGGCAAATTAACATTTAGCACACACACACACACACACTTTCAGCTTCTTGTGATGATATTTCATCTTCCTTAAATGTCACGACAAGTTTTTGAAGACAAATATGATGGAAGTTGACCCAATTTGAGGATATGGAGGCCCATCGTCATGGAAATTGGTCATACATTCGTGGAAATAAGTTGATTAAATTATTTTTTCAGACAATACCGAATGTAGGTCAAAAGTCTCTTCGAGACATCAGCCTGTTATCGCAGAGTATGTTCACTTCCTTCGTTCTCCTTCACTCTGGTGATAATAAATATGGCTTTTGAGAGGCAGCTTTTGTGTATTCTTCTCTACATGTTCTGCAGCACCCGTTCTCCTTGAGCCTGTGCAAAATACATAAGCTCACAAATTATGATTAGAATCATTTATTGTCGCCACTATCTCGTCCTATTTTTATGCTGGATATGTGACTGAATTCTGATCTGCCGCAAGTTGGAAAAATTCCTGAGAATTTCAGCAAATTTTCATCGTGAAAACCTCAACAAAGAATGTCTCGAATCCATCGATTCGTAATGTTATCTTGCAGCCGAGGGAGAATATTGTGGATTTGAGGATGAGGTTGTAAAATGGCTGCATTCTGACGAGGACCGACTTACAATGTCCATGTATTTGAATAAAGACTCGATGTAAACCACAATTCACTCTTCATCGCATAATACTGACGATCACGTTAATGTGGAGCTAATTCTCTTGAGGCATGGCGAAATTTTTCTCTCTCATGTCAGTGAAATTTTCCACATGCACGTGCCTGAAATGTCTTCTCATTTTTCCCAGCCATTGTGTGGTGCAAAATATTTGCCTCATCCGCCGAAGGATTGCGGAAGAAAAAGAAAGCTGAAGCTCTCTACATAGAAAATTGGCAGAGAGAGAGAGAGAGAGATTTTATATATCTTTCGTAGGGCATAATAGAAAATTTTCAGTATCATTCTCCTCATCATTAGGCAATGGACAAAGTGTTGGCGTGGAGGAAGTGGCATCAATGTTCCACCCTCGCAGTCGAAGGAGGGATTTTTCGGCATGAAAGACAAGCTCATGAGACTTACATGAGGCATCAGCAGCATCGTGAGTAAATAGGAGAAACAGTGAAATGGTCTGTCGAGCATATTAGAGAGATTGAGAGACGTGACTTGAACCCTTTACACTTCTAAATGAATTTTCACCATTTCACTCCCCGGGAACACCGGCGCACCGGGCTTTTCCTGGCAGCGGGAAGGGATGGAAAAGAGAGGTGGAATTGTGTTTGCTAATATGAGTCACACAATTCGTGATTTAGACGTGTAAACTATGAAACCATTACAATTCTACACGTAACTACAAAGTACAATACAAACAAGAGAATGAGGAATAGATTATAGACTCCCGGGCCACTCTCGAAGCCATGCGGCGTTTGTGTGTAGGTTCCAATGGGATTTTGGTCGGTGGTGATGGAATTCTTTGGAATTAATTAACCCTCCACACGGAAACTTCATCGAATTTTCACAAGCTCAGGACTGGTGGTGGGCGGGGAGCTCTCGAAAGGGGTTCAGCCAGAGTAAGACTCCCAGAGTGAGATTTTATGGCAGAGGACGGAAGGGAGTCGATATTGTGTTTTTGAGGAACTTTATACACTCAGGGTTGCTCGCCACATGATTCATTTTCACCAACTTTGTCCCTGAGACCAGATTGTTACTCTCCGGCAGTTCCAACTATGTTTGAATGCTGATTCGCATCTCTTGACCCGGCGTGCTCATAAAGTCCCCGAGACTGCTAAAAAGTTGATGAAGCTACTGAAAAACACCTAAATTAGATAGTCAAGGCTTTTTATCACACTTTTCCCCACATTGCTCGTAAAATGTATATCACTAGTGATAAAATTCCACATTGCACTGGCATGCTTTTGGGAGAATGAATCTCTGGCGGAGCTTTTTTCTCATCTATGTGCGTGTATAAAATGCTCGCGCGCGGTGTAAAATGTAAAATCCACGAATTGCAACCCCTTTTAACTCTCTGAAAATCTTTCACGCTGAGCGCACGTGGGTAAAAAAAACACTCCCCAAGAGAGCCAAAAAGCACGATTTAGTGCACAAACTTCTGAAGGATGACCGACCCTTGGGTCCCTGCGGAGGGTGCGGAAAAGCTCGCCTCATCGAAACAACAATAATTCTTGCGAATTTTCAGTGAGTCAATAAATCTCATGAGAAAATCAGGTGGAAAAACAAGCCCATTTTGCATGCCGAGAAGTTGTGAGAAAAACACACTAACTTTCGAACCACTCACACTGCCCCAATATTGCTTGGGGGCCTCGGATGGGCACAAGTTGGCAAAGTGATAAACATATTTCGTGTGCTCTCGGTGTACATTTTCCTACACTGATCATATGTCACATTTATAGTTTGAGTGAAGTGTCTCTCTGCCGCTTTCACCCTCTAAAAATTCAAATAAGTTGAAACTTCTCACGCCAGCGCGAAAGAGACGGGGAGAAAAACAACACTTTCCACCCACTCATAAATGTAGGACAATGGCTTTTTCTTGCCATCCACAACTTGGAGCTGAGAAGCGTTTGTGTGTGTGTGAAAAATGAAATATTGCCCAATATTCAGTCACCGGCACAGAGAAGCTCTTTCGCCACGGAAAAACAGAGAAGCTTCAGGGTTGCTCCAGCGAGAGAGAGGGTTCTATATTTAATGACTTGTTCAACAATGATGATGACGCGCTCTGGGCTCCTTCCCACCCCCTCCCATATCCGGGTCATTCTGGGTTTTTGGCTGTGAATAATTTTCACGGAGATTATTTTATGCCGTCGCACTATTTCATACACACACACTAGCGCTGCTTGGGCGAAGAACCCATTCAACCAATTCATAATGCCACATGCATATTTCAGTGGGTGGCTCCGCCCAAACCCCCGGTCATGTCAGCCACCCAATTCGGCGAGAGTTGTAAAAATGCTGCTAAATTAATTATTTTAATAATTAAACGACCAACACAGAGCAAGAGTGGAAAAATTCGCCAGTTGTGAGGCGCAAGAAGAATGACCATCTAATTTCGAGGGGGAAAAAAAATTCCCAACAGATGAGATGGTTTGCGAGGAAAGAGCTTGTAATTAATCGCTTTATACCTGACCAAATGCGTAAGCTTTTTTTGCTGCCTTCAGTGCGCATCGCCAATGAGCGCGCCTCCCTCTTCAATGAATAATTGATACACTTTGAGACTAATTTTTTTCAGCTCGCAGACGGCAAAAACACTCACCACACAGTGAATGGCGATGAAGGGAAGTGCTGGAGGAGAAAAGAAATGCTCAAGAGCAAGAAAAAGCGAAGGTGTGGTGATATTCTTAGTGAATATTAAATTGACTTAAATTCCTGTCTCTTGCCTGAGACGTTTTAATGATGTCTTCTTACCCCTCTTCTTGCCTTCTTTGTAAGGAGATAATTTCTTGTTGAATCATCATCTTATAATCCTGTTTTATTTGACCATTAATTGCGTGCTTTTTATGCATTTATTCATTAATTTGTCAAACGAACATTATCCGTTCGTTGATTTATTTTATGTCAAATATCATGAATTCAATATCTGACTAAGAATATTTCAATGGAAACCAAGTTCTAATCCTCTAGCTTAATCCATCTTGAACTCTCATGCATTCATACATAAACTCCTCTTTTATGGAATTTTTGTATGAGCATAACGGATAAAAAACCGCTGATATAAATAACATATTGTTGTATTGTCAATGAATAAATAAAGTGTGCGCCACAATTAACCCAACAAATTAATTGCAAACAAATTCCATTTGAATACACTCGAATGGCTATTTGGCACAAATATCCAGCTTCATTTCCTGTGTAAAATATTAATTGAACTCAAGAACGTGAATGGAAAGTTGTACGAGTGGAAAATTGCTCGAGCCAATGCGCATAGAACATTTTCTTCTTCACATCTCCGCAAAATACCGCGGTAACATTTTGTGTTTGCCTTAGAATTGCTAATGAAAATTTGCTTCATTGTTCATCATATTCCCATTTACACCATGAATAGATGATAATGTGTACTTACCTTGAGACTCATCGTTGTGATTCTTACTAGAACTGCAATTGCTTAGTCTCAAGTGCAAAGAAATTGTGGATTCAAGTATTTTCTCATCAATAAATTATTTATTATGTCATTATACATAATTGGCTATTTACATTACTTGTATATACAAAAATGAAATTATCTATTCTCAATCTAAGTATATTTTTCGTTTTCCAACATGATTTGTTGTCACTTCAATATAGCAGTTGTGGAAAAATGTGACCAATTAATAGTATCACACGTACAAAGTATTTGATCCTATTTTCCTTTCGGATAAAAGCATATAAATTACCCTCAATAGTAATCAAACAATAATTCTCCATTTAATTCATTTCTATTGTATATATTTGTTTGTATATTTTTAATCAAGCTTATTGGGCAACACGAAAATTAAACAAGTTCTTTATTGTGCTTTCTTTGGGCTGAACATAGTTTATGTTTTAGTTCTCGATATATAGTTATTTGCACAATGGATTTCGAAAATTTGGAATAAACTCAAAACTGTCATGGTTGACTAAAAATGGCAATATTCAAATATTCTCATTTGCTATTTATAAAATATTTAAGGAGACACGAAAATGATTTTTGCAAAAATATCATTGCTATTGAAAGCATTTAAATCAAATTTTATCCTTGTGGATTCTTGCTTCTCATGATTGAATTTCCACGACTGTTTTCCTACCAGAGCGTCAATATAAAATAATTCTATTTTTTATTCACTAACATCCCATTTATTTACAACGGGCTTGGTGCATTTCTCTTCCACCTCTATTTAAGTAACGAATATAGTCGCTTTTTACCCTCTGCATTGTTTGCTTAATTTGTTCGTTTGCAGGCAAATGGAAAAGTATGTCATTGGACGCGATGGTGAGTTGGAATTTTTAATATCGAACTAAATACTTCCATATCTGTTCTATTCGATTGTTTTTTAGCAATATGTGATAGTTCTGGCGGTAATATTGAACCATTGATAAGCTTCGGCGGTGCAAATGAACAATGACACTGGCTAATGGTGGAGGCAAAATGAATTGAATTGAACTATAATTTCCATTTTTCACGCGTTGGATTTTTAATTACTTTCGTCATTTGGGAGGTTATTGATCGCGGAGGAAATTAAATTTGAATATCGAACGCGAGATAAGCCGTCTCGTGTCCGGTGCACTTTCCCACTCTGCCCATAGGATTGGAGCTCTATTTGCTCGGCTCCTGTGGTGCGCAATTGATGTGGAATAAAGAGGTCATTTCGGGCTGATATTGTATTTGGAGACGGGTCAGAAATTGGGGCGTGATGGACAGTTGCGAGGTGGAAGACAAGCACTGAACAGGGTGAAAATGCCTATTGATTCGATAAATTTTAGCTATAGTATTTGAGAGACTCTTCAATGCGGTATATCACATTATTATAGATGGTACACAGATATTAGGGGGTTGCGAAACTCACTTGGTTTCCACCCTTTCTTACATCTCCTTGCCAGAGCGTCCTTATGTTAAATGTCACACTACGTAAGTTTTCATTTTAGGAGCTAATTATTGTATAGAAGGACATAAAATATTTCAGTTTCCTTTCATCCTTAGTTATGATTAATAATTTCTTCCTTAAATTGTTATGTCGCCTTGGACATTCCAGTGTACAATTTTCTCTATTGTTATTCATCTATGTCTTTTCCTTGTTCATGGGTACTCTATCATAACTAGGAGAGATAAATTTCATTAGTTTGCAGCTGGGGGTGATTTCCTGAAACACCTCGAGCAGTTTTGCTGGCAAATATCCGAGGAATCTTCTCAGCTTCCTCACACTGTCTCACATTTCTCAAGTGCCTGTCGTTCACATCTATCAGTTCTGAAAGCATGAATAAAAGGAAAGATGGGATCGTGAGTGTTGAATTGCAGCTGAACTCGAGAGCACTGTGCAATCCTTCGAGAGTCATGCATTTTGTATTGCTCTTGAAGTGTAATTCTGGGAAAGACACACTACAACTTTGTTTCAATGCTCGCAAATACTTAGAAATGGATTTCTGGATCAAGTATTATCCTTGGAGTTTCTTGAACCCTCTTGAGAATTGAGGGCTGTATTGTGTAAGTGTTTGGAGGAATAATATTGTTGAATATTTGGAAATTCAAGGTATATAGAGAATATCTCCGTTGCTTTAATGATTCTGATTAAATTTACAGATAGGAAATTGCAATGAGAGTATTTGCATGGAGGTGTGAAATGTCTATTTGTTTTCAATGCCTTGTATGCTTTCAATAAGTTTGCGTAATCAAATGTAGAGCAGTAGAGCGAACTTTTAAGTGTGTCTTGAATCAATAAAAGTGTGCTCTGCGTGTTCTTCTGTAAATTTAGCTTCCTATATTTCATTTTAATGGTTTCAAACACATCGTCTCAAAATCTCAGTAATGCGCAAAATCAAAATTTCCAGGAATTCTATTTGTAGTCACTCGACCTGCCTATTTGCTTCCCAGGAGAAAGAGTCTTTCTGGGAAATGGCAGATGACAAAATCTCATTTTCAAGACTTAATGATAATAGAGAAGTGGCGGAGCTCACCTTTGATTGGGGCCAGTGGTGGGAGTGGCACGATAACGCTTAAATGGCGGCGCACACTCATCACCTGACGCCGCTCAAGAGCATGGCGACGAGGATGAGTGCGGACCACCTGAGACAGGTGGAGGCGCTGGTCTCGTGCTGCATGGCGGCGCGGTGCTCGCTCTTGATCACGTGCACCACGACACTGGCCTGATCTGGAAGCCAAGACCATGGGATGACACCGTCACTTCTATAATACAGGTCGATGAACTCACCCGAGTTGCTAGGGGAGCAGGTGTAATTGCCTGAATCGGCGGGGGTGGCGCGTGCAATCACGAGCTTGCTCGTGCGTGTCTGTCGCTCCGTGAGCACGTTGATGCCGCCCCTTTGGGAATAGTTAATAAGGCGGCCGTCCTTGTACCAGTAGATGAAGGATGGCGGGGCCGGGGCTTGAATGGCGACACACGTGAGATTTATGTCGCTGCCACTCTTGATGAATAGTTCGGGATTGCCGAGTATTTTCGCTTTCGACACTGAATCATCATTCATGTGGTCACGCGGGCCCCGCGCATTGATCGCGCACGACGGGGAGAGAGAGAGAGACATAAAGAGATTAGATTAGGGATTAGCACATAAAGTCTTTATGGCTTTTTTGTGGCCCATTCTGATCAAATCACCCGCCACACCAATTTGAGATCATTTTCGCATTTTTAGCCCCGCGCACATATTGATAAATGGTCAGACCACAACCCTTGTGTTATTAGTTAAATATTCCCAGGCGATAGACTTATAAAACACGCGGTGTCATTCATCTTAATCATCGCTGAAATTGCCCCAAATTCAGCACACACACATGAGATAAAGGGGCTGATACAAATGAGGAGAAAAACAAACAATTGTAGAAGCCGTAAATTTGGTTTATTCCACGCACACCCCGGGTGGTTGGGTGGCAAATATTTATTTTGGTAGCGCAAGAGACTGATCCAGAAATCGAGGGTTCCGCCCTGCCGGCGAGATTGGAGCCACTCTGCAGACTAATTGAACGTGCATTCACTATTTCCACTTCTGGTGACAAGATACTGTGCAGTGGAGAGGGTCGTAAACCACCCATCACGCATTTATATTACCATTAATTAACCCTCGCGACAGCACGGGCCGTGATGAGGGTGTGGGTGAGACTAATGTCTCCGATCAAAAGGCGATAACATAGTGGCAAGTGCGAGTGTACACCATATTCTCGACAAGCACTTTATCTCGAATATCGGGGGCGAAATTAGGCACACTATTTGAAGGTCAATAATTATGTTTATCGTATAGTGTATTGGAAATAACTTTGCCTTGTCTTTCGCACGAGAACTCGTAATTAATTGGGTGCTTAAAGCATTTTTTCCATAGCGTTGAAAATGTGCTAAAGACCATAAAAGTCTAACATGAAAATATCGTTCTACCGATGAGATTAGATCAGTAATTTCAAAGTAATCGATTGTAAGAGTGTTTTAGGAGAAGAAAAAAATTATCCCCAGATATGCAATCGAACCAGTTTATCACTTTTAAAATTCTTATTTCACAGTACACGTCTTTTATCATATCTAGGCACCTTGTTTCCGTAATCCATCACGAATCATGGGAAAGAAGCTGAGATTTCTATTGGTAACAATTAATCTTGGTTGCTGAACGGGAAAGCCACTTTCTATCATGTTGATGAGTTACAACATACGCGTGTTTTGGAAGCCACTTCAAGCTTTGTGGTGTTGTGTCTGATGGATTTATCAAAAAGTCAGTGTGATGAATTTCCCGTGCGATTCCCCTGAAACGTCACCCCAAAGCCAGAAGGTGAATGTTCGCAGTCATTTTCAGATAAAGCTTCATTTTCATATATGAACTAAATTAGGGCGACAGTCTCAAGTGGATTAAAAATGTGACTGAGAAATTTATTTACACTCTAGAAATTTCTTTCCAGAGCGTTCCAAATTCCTTCCTCTATTTATTGCCCAGTCTCGGGAGATTTACGATTTATTCACTCTTTTTCGTGCACTTCTCCTGGGTTTCTTCCAGGCCATACCTTTTGCAAGGCCTGCCGGGGGATGGGAGTGAGGGTGTGGATTTCCCAAAGAAAAGTTCATTAATGCAACACCACTGGAATTGTGTGCCAAGATTTGCAACACTATCCGCGCTGAATGGTGTAAAGCTGCACAAAAGAGTGTCGCTTTCTCGCGTTTTTCTCAGGCCGCACATTGTGTAAATCCTCAAAATCTGCACTTACCTACGACGGTGAGCCTGAATGCCATGCTAATTTTGGGCTCCGTCGACACCTGACACTCATATATTCCCGAATCTCGCAGCTGAGGCGAGGAAATCTTCAGCGTCCATTCGTCTGAGCCTTCAGTGTGCAAGCTCTGGAATCTCTGATCGTTTGTGTAGGTCATGATGCCAATGGTGAGAATGTGCAGGTCACGTTTTCGTATCCAAGATACCTGCAAATTGAGGAGGGGTAATTGTAATATTCTCATTTCGCATCCACTTTCCCGCTGTTGGCCATGTGAAATTAAATGATGTAAACATTCTTGGAAGCGCGGCGTAAACCCTGGAAAATTACACATTGCTCAATAATGAAATGGAGTTTGCTGGAGTTGGGATGCTTTGCATATTTTTAATTACTTTCAGTGAAATTTTTCTGCCAAAGAGATAATCAATAGATACAACTTGGCAAATCCCCAGCTAAAAGCTCACTTTGAATGCAATGTATGTGAAAAATGTTGTATATTTTTACTGTTCTATGCTTTTTGAAGTTTATTTCCAGGAGATTTGCTTGTGAAAATAAAACATTTACACAGGTAATGCATTTTTTGCCATGAACTCACTAAGCTAACATTGTATTTGCTTAATCCTCGCTTGCTTCAAAGAGTATTTTTTAACCGCAGTGCAATTCAACTGATGGAATTTTCCGTATAATTTGCTAATGTGTGAGATTAACAAGGAAATTTACGTATTGATTAAAAAATCCAGAGGGAATTTGAAAACTCAATTCATTACTGTGTTTTTTTTTCTCGAGATTTTCTGAAGGTGTCTTCACCATGTTTAGACTTATCCATGAAGGCAAAATCATTAGCATTTGCAGTGTCCAAACTTTTCTCTTAATTTTTTAATGGCTATGCTGAAGTGTTGAGCGAAATTCACTTCACGTGCTATTTACATAAATACTTTCCCTTCTTCCAGTTCTTGCATTAATAGTTCGCCCCATCAAATACCTTATGAAAGTTGTTTTTCCGTGTGTTTTCTCGGGCGCTTGAAATTTTTGCACCACTCATTGTTTTTCCCGGATGGAAACGAAGGCGAAATACAAAAATGGGGCGATTAAGAGAAGCGGGAAATGGAATTTAATGCAATTTTAAGTTAAAAAGTTTGGCGCGCGGGGAAAAGCCAGCGCAGGAGGATCTGCACAATAATTTCCGCGCGTTAGGAGGTGAGAGAAAATTGAATTCCGCCGGCCATCGGGGGAAAGGGGGGGACCCGGGATATACTCACGGCTCTGTCGCCAAGATTGCGGACGCGGCAGCGCAGCAGAGCCACTTGGCCCACGGTGGCGGTGAGGTCGCGCTTCGTTGTGTTGTCGAAGTACGGCTGGGCGAACGGCGTGTCCCAGTAGCTGGGCGCCTCCACATTAATGAATCCTATCACTGCAAAGCAAGCATATTCACATTTTAATCACCATCAGGCCTCACTCTGCTGTAATGGCTCTCTGAAAAGTCTCCCCATCCATCTTCTGCCGGCTCAAGCGAGGCTCTGCACAATCACTCATAGGCCGTTTAACATAGCGACATGGCTTAGACGGGTATATCGGCTTTAATGTTTGAAAAGAGTGTATATGAAATAGATTCTCCCCTAGCTTAGTTTACAGAGTATTCCGTGGAAATTTCACCATGTTAGAAAGACGATAAATTCAGAGAGGATCGCCTTTCTAATCTCTCTCTTTCACCATTTCCCACTTTGTTTCGAATGAATCTCAGTTTGGCTCACATTTCGCCTCCACGGTTCGTCTCATCTTCTCTCTTTTTTTTTATTAATTTAATTCTGTCCCCCGTGCAATTTTCCCACGCGCTCACGGGGTGCGGAGATCCACAAAAATTGATGCTAATGGCGGTTTTTCGGGGGATATGGCAGAGGCAAAGGCACTCTCTGGGCGGTTGAAATCTATTTCACAAATCTTTTATATCCATTTCATAAACTACACAAGGGATTTGTAGCAGTTTTTCAGGCATGACAGGGGAAGACATGGGGGAAATATCGCGCAGAACAGAATTGTTGGGAGATTATGGGCGGGAAAAAAACTGTGCGGGCACAAAACAAAAAAAAAGACTGAAGCGAAAAACGAGTGGAATTAAACGGAGAAAATAATACGATGTTGGTTGTATGATTTTAAAAAGCGATAAGGTTCGTAGCTTCGCCGGAGTGAATACGGCAAGTGTGTGTTTGTGGGGGCAGAAGGAGCTCTTGAGACCGTCGAAAGGGGTGTTTTGGGATATTTACAATGCCAACGTATTTGTTGAACTAATTTTTACGGGCAGTGGTTGGAAAATCACTGTTTGTGCTTGTTATTTAATCAATTTGCATTGCGTTCAAAGAAATCCTCTTGGGTATCATGAAATTATTCATTAAATTTCATCGCAACTTTTTCAATTATGCCAAAAAAACATTTTTGTTAACATTTCAGTCAATCTTGGAGCAAAAATTATATGGCTTTGATTTTGTGGGTTTATTGATTGAAACTGCAATAAAATGCTGATCAAACATTTGCAGGCAATTTAAATTTATTATAGCGAAATGCATCAGACAAGCGGTTGATGGAAGTGACGAAATATTTGCCCCTTTTATTACGTGCTCTCGCGCTTTTCCAGCAGGTTTCACGCTGGGGTGGAAAATACCTTTCGCGAGAGTGACTTTGATAACCCAAAATCGATTTATCCGAACAATGTGTGGTGTGTGATAAATTGATTACCCTGATATAATTCCCGACGCATAAATACAACATTATAGTGTTGCGTAGCGCACATTTTGGTGAGCGAATGATAATAATGATGAGACTCAGGCATATGAGTAAAATCCGGCACGAAAGTTCACCCCGCAGATTAGCAACTCAATTCACCCCTGACAGTGGGTGGTGGCCGAAAATGCCAATAAAATTCAATGCTCAACAATAAAATTTTGATAAATAGAGTCAGCGAGGCGTCGCTGGACCATTTTGCCGCGTTGATTTATATATTCTCGAAAATTCCATAAATATTGCCCGGCGCACACGAGGTGCGAGAGGGCGACAAACATTTTCATTTCACCCCCAACATTGCCGTCGGTGGGTTTGTTGAGGCATGACCTGCAAAAAGCTTCTGAATTGCCGCGAATTAATATTGAAAATGAAGGGCTTTTAAACACATCGATTGCAGAGAGTGATATTTTTCGCAAAATTGAAAATCACTTTTTTGCGTGTCTGTCCATTACGCTTTTTCCCCGTGCCGCATAGCGCATTTTGCCAAAATGTGTGTAACATCATTATGGGAAGGCGGGGCAGCTTCGAACACGCTGCTCTTTTGCTACTCTGCCGCTGAACAATGTCATGAGGGATGAGCCAAAAACAAACCATCCTTCCTGTTAGACGTTGAAGATATGTCGAATGTGGTAATGCCAGATTTAATTGCTGAGTGCAACTGTTAAAACATTGGGATTTTTTTTCTGACAACAAAAAAACAGCAATTGATATGAATTAATGATATTGCAGGGAAAATTCTGGTGTATCTCTTCATCCAATATTCAATATTCCCCAGTAAAATCAATCTACGTTTTTTGTAATGTGTTCCAGTTTTTGGAAAATCCAAGATGGACTTTTGCTTGCACTATTTATCGCTCGAATGACGTTCTGTGTACATTGGAAAACTTCCCAGTTTGAGGACATCGAGGGACGCGTGGGAAAAGTTTCCCGAATAGAGAGCTTCTGAGTGTACTTTTGGCTGCCAACAATAAACTATTTATGTTGCGAGTAGTGGGGGAGGAAAGCCAATAAAATTTTATTAATGCCATTGAAATGTGGATGAAAAGAACCAATTTACTGTTGGCCAGGATCTCTGTATACTTGATGTTGTTCGCTGGCTATCATTACACGTTCTAATTAATCATTTGATTGGTGAATTGGCACTTTTCCGTCCGCAAACGAGAGGGTGAGGGCGGCTTAAAAAGAGGGATCAATTTGCGGTTGTGGCTTCTGAGTGGCCCCCGGAAAAGCAGCCTCTTTCGCACTGTGTTGAGCGGAACAGAGAAAAAAGCTCTTTATCGTGTCGATGAGTTTTCAATTCCAACCATTTCAACAATGATTATTTGATTTCGGGGTAAGTGGAATGTGATTAAAGCGTTATACAACTTTGGTGATGAATCGAATTGCATTCGGGGTTTGGATATTTAGAGATTGCATGAGAGTATTTTGTGTTATTTCACACTCCGTGTGATTGGCTTCGATGGACATTCCGTCACTGTATTGATCGGAAAGGCAGTCAAGAGTAATTCACGGGGCTTAAGAACTGCGGAGACTCCAGAGAAGCTCCATTTGGTGGGTGTGAAGAAAAAAGGACGATGGTGGCATGAATGTTTCAACTGCTGCTAAAGTATTTCTGCAAATTTCCATTGGGCTCTGTCTCATCGGGCGCTGCTCTGTGGCGTATTCTCACGCAACAAGCCCAAAAGTTGCCCCGCCGGTGGCTGGGAATGCGGTGGGTGGCGGGCGGAGGATCCTTAACGAGTCCATTGTTTTATCGCTGGAATCCTTCACTCTACATTACCATGAATTTTTCACTCACACGCCTCTCCGAGTGCTCACATAAAATATTCCAGTGCCAAAACCACATACTGGGGTGTTTTGCGTGATGGGACACAGAATACCAACACGCTCTCCATCCAAACCACCCCCCGAACATGGGTAGGGCGTCAATCTTGACACCTAGACTACCAGAAACTCACCCCCTGAGCGTGCTCATTGGAGGGAAATGGAAGAAAAATTGCACTTGTTCCGTCGTCGAACAGGAAATCTATGTTGTGAGATTCACGTGAAAAATGCGTCCAAGAAGGAGGAAAATCCAAGAGCATTTATTTGTCTTTGCGAATTAGTCTTGGGAATTTAATTTAGGTCGCATTAAAAGTTGTCAGACTTTTTAGTTAGAGTGGATTTAAAACTCCATTGAATTATGTGAGCTCATTTCTCTACCGGACTCTCTTCAATTATGGCCGTGATCAGTTTAAGAGCAATTTATTTTCCATTTTTTACCTTCTTCCCGTCGAGCAGGAAACTCGGGAAGACTTTCCCGGATTAATGGAGTCTCATAAGTAAGCTTATCGATTGTGCATGTATGCGAAAATGGTTATTTGCATGCAAGAGCATTAAAGAAATTTATTAAGACCATATTTTATGGATGTATATTTGTAGGAAAAATACAGTACTTTGTCTAGTACATCAATAGAATATATGAACAAAAAAGCTGATAGAAAACCACAATATATCAAGAGGGGCTTAGCAATGAGTGTCATTTTTACCTCTGGGAACATTTTCAGGTGCTTTCAATGCCACAAGTGGATTTAAGCATGAGAAAATATGAACAATCTTCTCTTTACTTCAATTGAGAGTTGTTATAGTTTGAAATTTAGTGCTTGTTTTACGCTACGAATTTTGATGAAACAACAAAAAGCCTTTCCAATTTCACGTGAAAAAATTATTACCCCACGTGAAAACGGTATGAATAAGTCTGTGAAACTCCTGTCCACGTGGCTGTGCTTTAGATGAGGGTTTACTGATACTACGTTCGAAATCCCTGCGTGGCATTTCGATGGTGGATGAACAACACGCGGTCACCATAGGAATTGGAACTCTTTTTTTCCACCCTCTCTCATTCCACTATTTCCCAGGGATTTGTGACAATGAAAACATTCAGTGGATCAGGAAGAGCCACAGCAGAAGGGCGAAACCTAATATCACAATTTAATTTGTCTTTTTCGAGAATAATTCCAGCAGATGGTGCTTTTCGATGTGTTTTTTTCTTTGTGCGGCTCGCACGTGGCACTTTTTGCAAATGCCTCTCTTTGACTAAAATTATTCATGGGCCGAGGCGAAAGTTTCATCTCTCTGTCATTCTCACTTTAGCAACTTCTGTCCGTGGTCTTTTGCGTAATCTTTTGCCCGTGTGGAGGGATTTATTGGTGTTTCGCCCTCCACTTGTAATGCTGCAGGGCGGGAAGAATAAATGGATAGATCGTGAGTGGTTTCATCATTGGTGATAATTCACGTGAGTGGGCTGGATGAGAGCGGGAGTTGGGGTTCATTTAAATAATTTGCACGTGAATAATTACATTTGCAACAAATTAGCGCCATTAGGCGGTCCAGGGTGTGAGACGAGAGTGGGTGAGCAGGCGACCAGCGAACAATTACCATTTCAATTCGGCACAATTAACAATTCATTATAGTCCTGTGGCAACAACCACAAATCCTGCTTCTCTCTTAGCTTTCACTCTATTTCCAACACGGGGAAAATTTATGCACGGGAGCTGGAGTTGGGCAGATTTGCCAGTGGGTGAGATAAAAGAGAAAGCGAGAGACAACTTCAATAGGATAATGTCAACATGAAGTGCATTTAGCAAGCATTGTCAATCCCATGGAAGAGTGGAGACTCTCTTGTGTGTCACAGCGCGGCTCACAAGGAGAAAGTTTAGGATGAAAAGCTCTTCCTGTGAGAAAGTCTCTGGTGCTCTTTCTGTGCATATAGTATGGGAAATTTTTGATGCTATGGCACAAAGATTGGCAAATGAATTTAAATGTCCTCCTTGCTCTATTCCAGCGACCGCTGCAGCATTAATCACCCCAGCACGTCCCCGGCAATCCTCGCGTTGAGCACTCGCTCCGCACTGGCGAGAGCGGAAAAAGTTTAAGCCCCATCGGTACTTTGGCGACACTTCCTGCATTCCGGATTAATATTCAGTTCCGCCTGTAATTGTGGCTTCGTGCCTCCCCATTTTTTTCTGCTGATGCCGTATGATTTGGCGCCGAGGGAGGAGCACAACTGCCAAGCTCGAGTTGTAGTTGACTCGTGTTCTACATAACATTTCATTTTCATGCGCTATACATAGATGAGTCCCCAGCAGATGGAAGATTGTCGCAAAATTTCATAAAGTCTGCAGCAATATTTCTACAAGCTTCACCATTTTTTCTCCCACCCTCGCATTCTTCTTCTCTGTACGCTCGTCATGGACCAGAAACACCATGAACTTTTACGACACTGCTCTAGATGTGGTTTCTGCCTGTTGTCGTGTGATATTCCAGGGTGAAAGATCGCTGAATAGGACGGGATATTCCCGGTGGGAGGCTTCAGGAGAAATCCTGATGAATTGCTCTCCTTTTGCGGGGAGGCGAGAGAAAAAGTTGTGACAATATTTGAGCCTCGAAATTGCTCAGTATAGTTTTACCGACTTTTTCCATTTGAATTCCACTAATAAATCATGTTATATTCGTGAAATAAGATTCCATAAGCCTTGCGACTTTATAACAGTGCGACATGGGAAGAAATCTTGCGCGCTTTCGATGATGGTAAAAAATTGTAGAGAGGCCATTTTTTAATAGGCATCTTTTGAAATTGGATTACACAAATCATTTGTAATGGATTGAGATGAACTTTTGTATCTTGATGGTTTTGCAAAGAATTCTGTATGTGTTTGTTAGCCAAACGACGTGTACAAACTCAACCACAATTGCTTTTTGAAATGTTGCAGTGTTGACAGCCCTTTACAATGTTTGTCAGGATAGTTTTGTGGTGCTATTTTGAACAAGCTTTGCAACAGTTTTCAATACAGAACACGCAGAATACCTTTTCGTATCGGTTGGCGCAATAATGAGGCTCATCACGTGGAAGGCTATTTCTTGTTTACTTGCCCAACAGAATTAGAGCACTTTTTACTGCAAAAAGTTTCCTTGGCGAAAATGAGTCGACAGATTGGAGAATTCTGAAGAAGCACACATAGTCAGAGACAATGGAGAGAGGAAAAAGTGAGAGATTAGCACAAAGTGAGAGAAAATTACCCAACAGATTTCCATTTTCAATTAAAGATTAATTTCAGCACAAGCTTCGACTTGCTGAAGAAGTACACAGAGACTTTTCGATGGTGAGCTTTTCTCTGGTGTAGTTTTCTGAGAAATTTATGCTTTTTACCCGCGCGTGGTCCGTGTGGAAAAGTTTTCGCGAAACTTCCGCACACAACAATGTTTTCCAACTTCTAGACATATGCTCTCATGCTTGCCTTCCATTCAATCTCCTCAATGATTTTCCTTCGGAAGATCGCCTTGAGCCTTTCTCTATCAATTTGAATCAATCTCCGCTCGCGTTTGGAAAATTTAATACACGCGATTTCACGGTATAGCGAAAGATTTTCCATTATTGTTTATAGTTCATTCAATTATTGAGGGAAATGGCAGTCTTTAGCTCCACTTAATACCACTCGTTCCGAATTTACGACCCATAAATGTGTCTTAGGGAATTTTAGAGGCTTCCCTCATGCACTCGCGAGCTTTCCGCTGCGCCACTTTCCCATCGCACCGCGCTCTGTGGCGATGTTCCCGCCTCTGCAGATTAATTCATGATGATTTTTCATTGACATTTTTTTGCGCTTTGTTGTGTGCTTATTCTCACGTTCGACGGAGGCTCGAATGCGCGTGAGAGTTTGCTGAGGAATAAATTTGAATTTATAGCATCCCTCACACACTCTCGCCCACGCGCGACAATTTCCACCCCAAAAAGAGAGTGCCTGAAAACGATCGTGTTGAAGAAATTGTGGACGATTAATCTCTATTCCTCGAGAATATTTCATACACGGAGTTTTTCATTAAAATTCAATTTGAAAGTCAGCAATTTTTCACTCTCGCTGCGTCTCATGTTACAATTAATAATTTCACTACACATTCGCGAAGTGTTGCGCGCTTTCACGCAGAGCTTTCGATATCTTTCTGAGTCGCTGATGTTGATTTGGCCATCGAACTTTGGAGCATTGCGACGTGCTTCATGTCTTTTTCATTTTTGGCCAGAATGAGTAAAAAAAAATCATGAATTTATTATTTCGCAGGAAACTTGTCATCGCATCTCTTTTTGCCGACGATGATCGATAGCTTTTCGATGCTCTTAAAGCGGGAATTTCGGTCAGAGAGTCTCGGAAAAGAGTGACTAGTGCGCGTGTCGAGTGGCACCAATGAAATTCACATGGGAAGCCCGAATAGTGACATTATTAAATTATCATTTGGACGATTTGGACAATGGTTGTGAGGGACACAATTTTCGGAACGTGAAAGCTTCTTCATTCCCCCCCTTATTGGATTTCTCGAAGGGCGCTCTTCTTTCGATTGTCCACTCCTCGTGCGCGCCTAAATAATTCACTCTCTCTCTGTAGGTTGTTAAATTTGTTGAGCATTTCCTGAGACAACAGCACTAAACTCTCGGCTGCGCTTCCACGCGATCATGAAAAGAGTGACCAAATTGTGGGCACCCATCAATTCCCAAGCAAATCGCCACGGGGTGAAAAATCGAAACTTTTAATGAATTCCTTTTCTCTGTCACACCACGCGCTTCACATCATCCACCAAAGCACTTTTGGGGTGTGTTTATGGGACGATTTTTTTCCTTTGAGTGCGCCATGCGATTAAAAATGTAGCTCTCTTGCCACCCTCTCGTCTTTTATATCTCTGTCGCAAGGAAAAACTTCCCTCGAGTGAGTGATGAAAGTGAAAAGGGACGATTCTGGGCGCCAGGCGTGGTGGGGAAAACCTCTGAGAATCTCATTGAAATAAATAAATAATTATTTGACTTTCTATGTCGCATATGTCTTCGCATCGCGTTGAGTGATAGCTTTGTTGTTGACTTTCGTTATGTTATGTGACATGAGCAAGGCCGCGAGTCTTTTGGGGGAGGAAGTATGCTCAAGTGTCAGTGTGGATGATGAGGTGGAAGAAAGCTCATAATTTTGGACAAAACTTTTGCAAAATTAATTTGACTCCACCGCGCACTTTCGGGCAGAGATTTTGACAGTCGCACAGAATTGTGATGTTTAAATAAATTTATTAAATGCGTGCAAGACTCTTGGGATGAAAAGTTTTGATAAATTTAAAGTTTTGGTAATGCAGATTTGAATCATTTCCATATAGTTTTGTAGAGTTTCATGGAGAAATTCTGAGAATTAAAAGACTTTTACAGACTTTCATATCCTTAGAATTGTCTGGACAGCAAGTTGTAAAACGATCCATTATTGATCCTTTTGTGCTTCGTGGGTTAAGAACATTTGAAAGGATGAGATATAGTTTGTCCAATTTGTTCGGAAGTTGTTCCTATTTCGTTAGAAAGTTTCTTGTCCATGTGTCTCTGAATTATTCCTTTTCTTCTTCTATTTGACTCTATTTTTGTTAAATCTTTGATTTCTACGTCTTTCTTTTATTAAGTTATGCATTGTTTATTGATTGTTAGATTCAGCTGAGGTCTCGTTTAAGATATTGTTATTATAATTATGCTAATACTTTGAAATTCATGTTTTTGTGTTATTTTTTGTCTGAAGAATAACAATATTTTTGCATAAGCTAGCAATTCCTGGAGGTATTTTGCGATTTTGTATTCTTTATGCATTAAAATTTTATTATTTCCCTAAGGAACCGTTCGTTCTTGAAACGACCTGACGGCCACATATATTATCTGGAATTTACAGCAGTGCCGTGGACACTATTGTTACTTGAGGGCTGCAAAAGGGTGGAAAATCACCGTTTGGGTGTCACGCCGTGTGAGCTCGGTGGTGATATGTTGTGCGCCCGAAAAAAGCCAGGGCAGAAGGTTGGAGAAGAAATGCAGAGTGATAAACAAATATTACCGTTGACTAGAAGGGTTAGCAGGCTCACAGGAAAAATAATCCACAACTCCATGGCATTTCCCTCACGATCAATTATTCACGATTGTTCAATTCACTGGTCACCCTTATTTTTCACTTTATTTAACATTTTTGTTCCACCCTCGGGGATATTCACTCTCGTTTCACCACTTTTCACGCCCAAAATGTTGTTTTTTTTCGGGCCCTCGCGCTTTCTCTATATATTCTTTTTTAGCCCGTCGCCCAGAGCACAAAAAATCGTTCCTCCGCTTTGGCGCGATAAAGAAGAAGGGTTGCGCGACTCTGGGAATCACTTTATTAAATTAACTTTACTCACGTTCACGCAGGGCGAGAGAAGAATTTAATTAAATTTTTATCACACTTTTGTCTCGAAGGTGGTTCGCGAGATAACGCGCAGATAAGAAGCGCCCTGCAAGCAATCACCTTAGCACTCAATCTCAGATGGATGGATGGCGTGCGTTGAGATCTTGAGACGTCGCCGCTGATGGTTGCTGGTGAGGTAATCCGGCATGTCGCCGGGATGACACAGCCACAAATCCATCCCCAATGATTTGGGGTTAATCTGCCATTCAATGGTGCGGCATTTTGCCTCTCAGACGCTCTTCACCCCCACACTATTGCCTCATTTTTTCCTCAGCCACCAATTTAGTGATCCATTTAACAATAACAGAAGCCTCACATATATTTCATTCCGGGCTATATTGGCTACAGTCTCACTCTCGCTTCACCTCGATATTTATATCAATGGTCAAGATAAGACTCTCGGTATATATGGGGAAATTATCCTTTTCTCCTCCACTTTGTCATCCACGCTTTTTCCCTTTTGATAAACTCGCTGGGCGGAAGAGAGAAAAGCGCTGACCGAGATTTTCCCGCTATGCGGAACTGGCCAATGCGTGGAGAGAGTTCTCTCGAGGCGCCGGAAAAGAGTTGAAAATCTGCGGGAATGTACACTGACACACCAGCACTTCAAACGATTCCCACCGTTTTCACAATCACCCTCGAGTGAGTCTGTCCTCGTTTAATTGTTTGATATGGAGCGCCAAATAATGGAGGGTTTTTTCGCGTGGAAACTCGAACAGCACATTTCCTGCGGTTTGTTCTGGTGGCGCGGTTCCTCGAGCTGCGGTCAAAGTGTGGTCAGAGGGCAGCTGTCTCACTCCTTGAAGCACTCTCACGGCCTGACGTGCTCTTTGGGCGACAAATATAGTTCAACTGACGATCGAGATTCAATTTGGAGATTTAACTTTTGGGCTTCACTAGAGCGCCACGGAGTTGTGCAGTGGAATTCAGGGGAAGACAACTTAAGTTCCACACTCGCCCTCTCCTGCCGCCCCCACCACGTCGCATGGAAATTTCCAGGCGCCACAATACACGCGAGGGGGAAAATCCTGATTTTCTTACCCCTCGCCTAATCCCAGGAATTTGTTCTTCAGCAGAAGAAGCCCCACGGCGAGAAGAAGGGTTGGAAAGACTATGAAAACAGCGATATATTTTTAATATATGGTCGATCATAAAATACTGGCCAACCATTTCCGATCAATTTTTGGCCCAGTCGGTGTCTCTCATGTGGCGGAAATTGTTCCACCTCCTGATTTATTAGGCTATGCCAATAATTCTTAAACTATTCAATATTACCGCCATTCATTCGGCACTATAAATAGAGCGCTTATCGCTCGGGAAACCTAAGGAATGCAATCACCCAATGAGAGTGAAAAATCCACTCAGAGCTGGTGTTGTTGGTGTGGTATTTTTTGTAATTAAACTTTTCTCAATAAATGTGTTATGCGAATTTTCTGCCCTCCAGGATGGAATTTGTAGCAACTTTTCAACTCTCTCACCTTCCAGTGAACACAATTTTGCTATGCATTCCAAGCTCGCCGGAAAGCGCTGAAAAGTGAAGCAGTGTGTAATTGATCGTGAGCTCTTTGAGTGCTTGCTTATTAAAAATTAATCATTGATTGGATTCAGTCATTTACCTAAAATCAATTTATCGCAAGTTTCCTATGGAGAGCGGTGAAAAGGAAGTGCTTGAATGTCATTTTCCATCTCATTATGGTTTTCTCATGAGTGAAATTTCTAATTTCCGGCACTTAAACATTCCAAGTTGCCTCCAGAAGTTCCGATTAATTTGCTATTGCACTTTATTTCACATCCAATATCGCACGGTGAATGGATTAGGAAAGGGGAATTCACCCATTAATTCAGCCAATTGAGCACTTTGCGAGTTCTTGTGCCATAGTTTCAGCATTTTGTTGTTCACTTGGCATTTCCCTTGTGCAGCAAGGCAGGGGACTTTTTTTTTCTTCTTCCACGTGGGAAAACTTTCAAGAAGTCAACACGCAGCATTTTGTAGATGCTTTCAAACTTTTCCCACCAACACCGTGCTTTCTCCATTCTCCTTGGGCATACACTACAAGATTTTACTTATGGAAATTTTCATATTTCATTATGACAATTTCTCTGTGTGCCACTCTATATGCATGCCAGAGCAATGATGCCGCTTGAGTGGGTGGAAAAGTGAAGGGAAAAACGACCTCTGCATATATCCAAAAGTATTTCCATGGCAAGTTAATGTAAGGAAATTTCATTGCAAAGCTCTTTTCCTTCTCATCTGGCCTCGCCCATGAATTTTTCGGGGGGTCGGAAGAAATTCCTCTTTGTTTCCAACAGCATTTTTCTCTCTGAGACTCCCATCATATTTTCCATCTTTTGCAGCCATTTTGCCAATGGGATGAAAAGCGCCAAAAGTTGGGAAGACTTTTTGTACTTGGCTGTGTATAGTCTAAATAAAAATTTCCCTTTTATTGTTTCATTGTTCCAAAGTATTTCTCCCAAGCTTTGGTGCTTGATGACTAAACCTTTTTGTGTGTCCTTCTCGCGCTCCCTTTTCGTGTGTATTTATTCAGTACATCAGAAATTACTTTTCCAGTCATGTTCCCAAGGAGCACAAAAGGAATTCAATGGGGAAAAAATCGTGTAAACTTTTTGAGCTTTTTCCCCCTTTTCGCGTGAACTTTCCATAAATATTTTCGGTGAAACTATTTTTGTCTCCTTTTTCAACGGATTTCCACTGCTGATCTCTGCCAAATTGGAAGCTTTTTAGGTGTCAAAAATAGTGCTTGAATTGGAGTCGGAAATTATATATGAAAAGCATGTGAAGATTTTTCATGTATTCATATACTTAATTCTCAAGTGAGGCAACGAATGTGTAATGTTATTCAATTTCACTGCACGTTTCATATCAAGAGTATCACCGAGGATCTTAAATGGCGCCAACAAAATACTTGATGTTTGTCAGATGAAAATTCACCTGCTCTTGGCTTCCTTTTGAGTCACTGCGGAAGGCTGACAAGTGTTTCTCTCCTTGTCATGCTCGTGAGTAAATATTTTCGAACCAACAATGAGCTTAAGTAAATTATTGTGAGGTTGTCAATTTTAGGCACACAGAATTATAATGTTGCTCTTCAAGCATTCGTTCTTGCATTGTTTGTGTTTGACTAGAAAAGAATATGACTTACAGTCTGAATGTTTGTGAAGGCAAATGCGACGACTTTAAGTGATGTATTTTGAATGTGGTGAAAATAGTTGTTTTGTTGATCTTTCAGGAAGATTTTCATTTGGTTAATGGATGATTGTGTGCAGTTCATTATTTGTGTCTCTATTTATTTTTTGGTAGAAATGCATTCCATTTGATTACCGTTTAACATATGATCTTTGGTTGATCTCTGCGATCATTTTGCGCCTCTTTGTCAGTCTGTGCCAATCACAATAGCTGCTTGTCATCCCAAATGGCGGGGAAGCGCTGCAGAATTGCGGGGCTCTGAGATTTGGGGGTTTCATTGAGGAGAATAATTTTACACAAACCGCCATCGTCATCCCTTGGGTGTTTTGGCACAATTCTCAATGGAGCCACATCGATGGGTGGATAGAAATTGTTGGAAATGTGAAAATGTATCTGGGAGTTGAGTAGAATACGCGCTTTGAATTTATATCCGCCCCTTCCCAGCATCCCTCTAAAAGTCAAATATTGGCTGATGTCATACATGGGAATCATGGAGGTGGAGACATGAGAGAGTCAGAGGGAATACAAAATTATACGATAAAAGGGTTGAGGCATCTTGTCACAGGCATTTTTCTGTTTTTCATACCCAATTTATTGACTTTCCATATCGAGTGCACAGAGGGAGAATCCCACTCCGCAATTCCTGTGCCACGCAATCCCTCATCCTGAGATGTGTGTGCGCGCCTCAAGTGATGTGGAACAGCATGGCAGTGGGTGGAAAGCGGGTTGTTTTGGTTAAATAGCAATTTACCGTAATCTTTCTTTCGCTGATGCTCGAGAAATTGTGCGCCTCCCTCCGAGGCTCGGGAATCTCGATACACGCGGTCCCGGAGGGGGTGAAAATGTTCATTTCTCTGGCACACGAGTGACATCCAAGAAATGAAGTTATTTCCCTCTCCGGCCACCGCGTGGCATTCTCCACGAGCTCCGGAAAAATTGAGGACAATTTATTTCACAGTCAAATAAACACAGAGTTGTTTGCACCGCCGGAGAGCGATGGGGTGTGGACGATTGTTTAGGGGCGCTCCTTGGCATCGCCCGTGTGAATTGAGGCCATTTCTTCTCGTTTGCCTCACCATTTTCGAAATAATGTGCATTCACCCAGTGCAATTCCTTCGGCCTGAATGGCGCGCGCGATGTGGAAATTTCTGCGCTGGCATACATGATGCAAATCCCACCTAAAGCTGCATCTCGCCTGAATTATTGTGGTGCGCTCTGCACACGCAAATGAGTCCGTCGCTTGGGGGATTATTTGTTGAGGAATCACCATTAATCACAGGAATGTCTCATTCGTGACATTTTTATTGTAACATACATGGCAGCGAGCAGAGCGCGGAAACTTTCATTACTTGCCACCGTCAGCGATGAAAAGCTCGCGCGCGCCAGCCCAATGTTTTTCCAACTCTTTGCCAAGACGTAGGCAGAGTTCACGATCTCTCTTCTTATTGCATTTTCTGGCAGGAATATTAATGGCGAGCGAGCTGAGAAGCATTTCGAGAATTTAAATTCTCGCCAAAGTTCAGCTATGTCAATTTTTCTACACCAAGGCCACCCCCTTTACACACGATGCCAGTGAAGGCTCCGGCAACAACTTCATGAGAGAATTATTCGACAGATTCGGCCGAATAATAGTAATGCAGAAGATTTCAAAGAAAGACTTGCAATCTTAGCAGAGTTTGAACCCGAATCATCATTAGTATTCAATAAAACCGCAATTTCCTATCTCTTAGTCAATATTTTAACTAACTTGCGTAAATTCTCTATTAAGCCATTAAAAATCCAAGTAAGGAAAGTTTACTCACATAACTGGATGATGATGTGGTTCCTGTGAAATTTAATCACCGTGCATCACACTGATTAATTATACGAACTTTCGCTGCAGGAGAGCTTCAACTGAATGCACTTGCCACGCTATTTCATTCATCGCACTGTTTGATGTAATTTACAGCGATTCGCATCTCTGAACGCGTTTTCTTTGACGGCGGCTCGTAATTGAGTTAAATTTGGAATTTCTTTGCCACGCCGCGACGTGGCAGGAAACTAGGCCAGAATTTATGTGCAGAAATACTTGGTCTCCCTGCATAAAGCAATTCCTTGTCGTTGATTGCAATTTTGGGGTTGGCATTTTGATATCTATTCACAATTTTCGAATTAATTTCAATCCCCCGCGCAAAGAATGTCCTTCCCACCAGCGCCCAGGCGGGAGGAGAGTTTGAAAAGGATGGCTTTCCTCGTGGTGTCGAGAGTCACACCGATAAAGTTGCACAATGGCACAGAATTTCCGCGCGAAGAGTGGACTGACTTCGATGAAAAGCCACGCTTCGGGAACACATTAATTATAATTGTGGTGTGGAGAAAGAAACGAAGGGTGGCGAGCGCCATTGATGTGAAATCTATCGGTGGGTTTAATAATTTTTCGAGAAACGATAAATTTTACCGGTGAAGAAAGCATCGAGAGAGCTTTTTCGGCGGGTGCACAAGCCTTCGAGAACCCACTCCAGAGCCACAGAGTCTCTCGGGGCATTTTGGCCTCATTCCTCAGGAGTCACCGCGAAGTGAACAAACCACAAAACCGTGTGTAATTACTTCCACTCCTGCAACAACAAAAGACCCTCTCGAGAATAAACGCCAAGGACGTGCTCGGCGGCGTGGGAGGACAAAGGGGGGACTCAAACGAGGATTCAATATCCTGACTTTGAGTCATAAATTACACAAGTTCAAATAAGAAGCCGCAGCGCTTCTTGCACATGAATTCCTCCTCGCTGACGAGGAGGAATATAAGGACCATAAGGAGAATTGGAATTTGCGGGCCTTGTTGTGATTTTCACTTGATTTCCCTCATTTTCATTTGTCTGTACATGTCAGGAGGAGAAATTCAAGATGAATTTACAGAGTCTCTCAAGGGCGATTCAACCATTCTTCACTGTGTGGGGAATTTGCGATTTTCACTTTATTGAGCGCTCTGTGACTGACACGATGATTGTGCGGTTGGGAGGATGATTAAAAGTGCTAAACAGTGATTAGCCGGCAATTAAAATCTTCCCTTTGGCTGATTCCTGTCGAAAACCACCCGTGGCAAAATGACCAAACTTTCCCGTGATGTTGATTGACACTGAGGGGGATTTTTGCAGCTTTAATTAACTCTCATTCTCCACCCCAAAAAACATCCCCACTCAGAATCCACCTCTGAGATTGATTTTGAAGAATGCCAGACATCCACATCACTGCGACAAATTCACACGGTGAGTTACAGGAATTTTTTTTGCTGAATAGTTTTGTGAACAGGGATGAAAGTCCTGAAATACCACTACTTCTTGCCCTTCTTCTTGCCCTTGCCTTTGCGTCCCTTTTTCGATTTTTTACGCGCCAACACACGCCGCCACCAGCGCTGAATCGTCACGGCGGCGTGATTCATCATGAAGAGCAGCAGCTTCTCCTCCTGAATCCTCTTCTCTTCGGCCTCCTTTTGCGCCATCAGCCGGATGTACTCCACCTCCTGCGCCATGAAGCGCCTCTTCAGCAAATCCAGCCGTCCGCGCTCCCCGCAAATCACCTCCTCGAGCTGCATAAGCTCCTTACTCCTGTCGCCAATGTCCGCATCGTACTTGCCGATCCATGCCAGCAATTGATCCTGAACCGCTTGCCTGTGGATTGAACAGGAATTAGCCTGTAATCAATTGAGAGTGAATAACACGAGAGGGTCATACTTTCGCTCTCGCAGGCGCTCCTCTTCACGGAGATTTCTCTGCAGGAGATCCTCATAGAATGTCCTCGATTGCTCCACCTTGCTTCGCAGCTCCTGCTGATTCTTTCTACTCATCTCACTGATGTTCATCATATTTCTCTCCGATTGGAATCTGTGCGATGGGGAGAAAAGAGTAGATTAGGAGGAGACGGAAGTGCTCTTGTGGTAAATAACGTTTCAAGGTGATATTATGTACAAAAAAAAACAAGACAGAAATCTTTCTGAAGAAGCTTTTCTGTCCAGGTTCAAGTTCTCTTTGCAGATTGCAGGTTTAGTGTAAGATAAAGGGCCGGGCTTCTAAGTGGGCGTGGATTGAAATTTGATTCTCAAAGTCTCTATCAGATTTCACCCCTCAACAATCGTAACTTTTTGATAAATACTCTTGTATAATAGAAAATAAATCCAGATGAATAGGGTGAAACATTGCTTTCCACGTGCTTCAATTGACACTGATGTGAAGCAATATTATAGCGGGGTCGCGCCCTCGCGAGGCTTTGGAGGTGATTTAAGGTCTGCGAAGTGAAACTGACATTTGATGATTGATATATTCCTGATTCTCGCGCTTCTTCTCCTCAATCTCCCGTCGACACTTGTCAATCGTGTGAAGCTTTATGGCGAGAACCGCGTCGGTTTTCTTGCGCTCCGTCTCATATTTGCGCTTCAAGTCGGCCACTTTCATCGTGAACTTGGCATTATCCTTGTACATCTGGTGCAGCATTCGCTCCTTGATTATCTCACGCGCCGAAGTCATTTTCATCCGCCAGTCAGCGATTTTCCTCAACTCCCGCAGATTCTGCAGGATATTGTTGCCCTCCACTGAGACGGTGTCTCTGAACTGGGGAATCTTCTCCATCACACTCGAGCGTGAGATGGTATTGACAAGTTCAGAGACGTGGGCATGATTTGGAGTCAAAATTGCCATCTTCAGGTGGTCGATTTGCTCAGCAGAAAAATGCTCCTCGAGGATGACACTGTGCTCCATCATGGCAGGAAGACAGAGGAGCATCTCAGTGCGCTCGATGAGAATGTCAAGGACTCTGATGACTCTCGAGGAGACAATCTCGAACTCCAGACGCTCATGTCGATCAGTCCAACCTGAAGAAGGGCGGAAATTAGCAAGGAAGTTCTCCGGATGAATACATTTCTTTGTTTTTCTACCTTCTTGCGACTGTTCCCTCGCTATTGTCTCTGTAATCACGTCTGAGATGAACTTCTGAATCTGGTCGTCGTCGAGGTGCACAGAAGCAGACATTCTTGCACTGTCAATTTAACACGGAGAAAACACAATGATGGATACCGCACGATGTTTAATCAATTTAGCTGAACTCGTACAAATGCCAGTGTTTGGTTGCCACGATTCTCACCCTGGAAACAAGGGAGTGTTTATTTTTGCCAAAGCGCCAGGTCGAAGGTGTGAGTTCTGTCCGGAGGAAGTGCAGTGGAAAGTGGATTAAGTTGTTGGATTATTGAGCAGTTAATTGGATTGGGGCGATTGTGCAGAGATGGGGAAGAAGAAGAAGGGAGGCAACAAATTGGCGCGAATGTCGGAGGAGGAGCGCGCTCGCTACCTCCAGCACAGGGCGGACATGGAGGAGGAGGCTAGGCGACGCAAGGAGACCCTCATAGCGCTGTACATGAAGGTATGAAAATGATGTCTTGACACTCTTTCTCTGTGGGATTTTCATACACGGGCTTTTTGATGGCTTCGGCAGAATAAGCTAAAGCGCGAGGACGCCTTCACGAGGCTGAATATGGCGAAGATCAACCAGGAGTGGCGCAGCATCCTGCGTCAGCTCAAGTGCGAGGAGCTGAAGGAGGAGATAAAGTGTGTAGAGGTCTTCTGTGGGGATTCAATTGAGCACAAGAATCAAGTCATTAGACGCCTCTTGTGCGATTTGGACGAGTCTGAGGAGCTGTACGCGACCATGTTGCATGCTCACGTGGAGAACATCGAGAGGATAATCAGTGAGATTGCAGCCAGTGTGGTTTCGAGTGCACATAATCGATTTAACCATTTTCCACAGCGCTGCACTCGGAGCGTCTCAAGTTCTGGCACGAGTGGTACGTGACGGAGAAGCAATCGATGCTAGGCCGCTTCCATGGGCAAATGACACGCTACCGCGTGCGCAAGGATGCTGCCCAGGAGGACCTCGAGTGCATCTGCTTCGCCCTCGAGACAGAGATTGGCGCGGACGAGCAGAGCGCCGCAGAGGAGCACACAAAGCGCACCGACGATCTCAGGAACACCATGACAATCCGCCTCGAGGAGGTGACAAAGGACTGCGAGCAGGCAATGGAGACACTCTGGTCAGACTTCCAGCAAGTGCTCAACAATTATCTCTCCTACACTCAAGACTTCCACGATGAGTATCTCGACCTGAAGCGGCGCGACGAGGAGGACACAAAGCTCATCCAGGCGCACTACTTTGAGGTGGCGAGGAACACCGAGATCATCGCTGAGCTGCGCTTCCAGCTCGCGGCCGCTCGCGAGGAGAGGGACTTCACGGTGTCGCAGCTGGAGAGGTTCAGAGGCAAGTTGCAGCAGCGCTATGAGAACTCCAAGGGAGCTCTCGTGATGGGCGCCAAGGAGGACAAGGAGAGAATCCGCCGGCTCGTGGTCAGCAGCTCAAGTGCCATCAGGAAGCTGGAGGGCAGCGTGAAGAAGGGCAATGTCCTGCTTCAGCTTGTGGGGATTTGCAGCAAATTGGAAACGGAAAGGGAAAAAGTAGTTCCGTTCAACAATGAACCGGTGAAGAAGTGGCCAGAAAGCAAGGAAGCTCCCGAGGACGATTTTAAAAATGTAAGTATAATTCATTCATTCATTCTTTACTCGTGAAAATCAATATATACACTTCAGTCGCATTTGCAGCTTGAATGAAATGTGCATAAATAATTTATCGCGTTGAAAATGCAACATATATCTCGTTATTTTTCTTTTCAACCATTCGAATGGCTCGAATTGTTGAGCATTTAAGAGTGTAGCGCACAAATGACGTAGTTGAACATATCATAAAGTCAAGGGTGTTCCGGGCGATAATGGCACGGAGTGCGATTGCCACATTGTCGAATGAATGCTGAGAATCGTCAGCAGTGTTAGTTGGCGTCATGGCACGTTGTGAATGGGACTCAATGACTTGTTGCAGGCAACTTTCAAGCTGTTCTCGAGGATGGAGAACTTCTGGATCCGCTTCAATCGCGCCCGCCTGGACTGTGCTTATCTGCAGGAGGAGAGAGTCACGCTCCAGCAGAGCAATCGCGCTCTGAGACACCAATTGCGGGAATACCTCGTGGCGGTGACGATGAAGTCGACACGCTGCGGCGACGCCCACCTCCTGGAGCGACGGCCGCGGAGCATGAAGGTGGAGAAGGTGGTGCACATCGAGCTGCCCAGGCGGAAGGTGCATCCCAAGCTGCGGCGCCCCGTGACGTGCATCGAGGGCAACCTGAGCGTGGCCGTTCGTAGCCAGCAATTGGCACAGAGCAAATTTCGAGCAGCGCAGATATTTCCCATGGTGAATGGCTCATGAGGTGATTGTTGATGGCTAAAGTCTTTGGCGGCGGCGGGGTGAGACAATGGGAGTTGCTTAATTACAGCGCAATGAAAGCATCTCAGCAAGAGATCCATGTGGCTTTCAGCCGCTGGAGTCTCTCGAATGCTAGTCACGATGTCATTTATTGACAATCAACGTGCATATTGTGCTCGCCCCCAGGTCGAATACCACTTTTGCCCAACCCCAACCGAAATAGTTTGTTCTGAGATTATTGCTGCTGCCGGCAATGTCGTCGCCCATTGTCCTCTATGCCTTTTTAGCTCACCATACACACACACGCTGTAATGGAAAATATTCGCCCATATCCATCCAATATCTGCCGCCAGCGTGGGTCAGTTGGGGTGAAAAGCCCACCTTTGGCCGCCACGCGAGAGTGAGGGAATTATTGTTGAGGAGCTCTCGGTAATGTGAAATTCTCTTAGCACGTAAATCATACACCATTTCCCACCAAGGGGTAGTTGATATGCCCAAAAGCTGTACACCATTTCCACAATTCGCATGAAAAGTCCCCTGCCACTTCTCAGAAATCGGAGTGTAGTAGGAAATATAGAGAGACGAAGCAGGAAAGCGAATATTGAAACAATTAACATTTCTGCTGAGTTGTACACCACTTCTGACAACATTATCTCCCCCTTGTGCCCCCCAACTTAATGCCCAATGTCGGCGTTTTGCGGAATATAGAGCGGCCACACAACATGCAAAAAACATTCACAGCACCATATAGAAATATCGCATAGAGCCATTGAGATAGCATTTACTATGCAAAAGATTTCCGGTTGTTATGCTCCCCTTTCGCCCATCTCACGCCCCGCACAAAGCCCGGCACCGAAGACGATGAATAGGGCTGTGCCAATTCATTACGACCCCGTTGGAGCCGGATATGGGAAATTTTTACTCTCCATCGTTCCCTGCATTAATACTATGGCTTATTGGTGAAACGTCCCGCCCCGGAAATGGACTGTCCAAAAATTTCCGGCCAATTCTACATAATCTTCAATTGGGCTTTCGCATTTTTCAAACTGTTTCAGTCGCACCAAAATTGTTATGTTATAGTCACAAAAATAAAGTTCATTCGCAAATTTGCACTGTTTTCACAGCAATTTCCCGATAATTGTATTAAATCTTTCACTGGCAAGAAGAGAAGATGTTTGTTTTGGATCTTTGAAAGCTCTAGGAAGTGCTTCAACACGATGTATTAGATAACTTGACTTGCGAACCAGGTATGAAGAGCATGTCATGTGGAAAGAGATTTTATGAAATTCCCCGCTGAAATTGAAAAGAATTCTTCATGCGTCGTGTGGCTGATTAAATGAAATATCGCGTATTCGGAATCTCGCCTCGATTTCTCATTTCGATATGGCGGAAATTGAAAAATTTTCGTGTCATTGAAGAGATGAATTCAACTCCGCGCGCACTCATGGTCTATTTCCTCGTACGTTTTTTTTCCTGCAGTTCCGTTTGGGCTTCTTTTGAGCTCTCTGGCGGTGGGTGAAAAAATTAGTTTACAAATAAATACATGAATGCTCAGCACTCGCTCGCCATGTCAGCGCAATCATTGCATTTTGGCTCCAGCGAATTCCTGTGTCCAGTGGATGGATGATGAGTAGATGCGGAAGCTGTTGTCACGCTGATACGTTTGAATAAATAAAGCAAACAAAATGCATCGTGCAGCGAAAATATCTCTTTGTATGCAAACACAAGCTATATAATGCCTGCCATCGGTTGAATAGTGTGCCGACGAAAATGGAATAAAGTATTTATGCCCAATGCCAACAAATACAAAATATACTACTTTTTCACGATACTCCTGAACAATTTACCGCGAAAACAAATGTAGAAAATATTTTTTTCTGTCTTGCTTCTCTATACAAAGGCAAAAAATACAGCGAATGTCAGGGTGGGAAAAAAAATGTACTGCTGCATACCTCTCTGTGAAATATTTCCACTGGAATTTCCCCGGAGTCACTCTGTGCTGGGAAAATGTGCAGAATTAGCTCTTCTCTCCATTAAGATTGATGCACATGCAAAAGCTTTGTTTTTAGATCCTATCTGCGTTTTAATTTTGAGCCAGATATTTCGACTAGCACTCAACGTCACCATAAGCTCGTGACACAACATATTTTAGAGTATTTTTCCTAGGTAATTCTATAAATATTTGAGCGGCAAGAGCTTTTCGATCACTATCACCAGTGTTAGGCATGGTCTGGTTCATTATGCTGAAATATTTTAGACCTTTTCTGTCATCATTCCAAGGTGAACATTTCATTTATCCTTTTGGCATTCTCAAGGGAAGCAAGGAAGATTCTCTCCTTCGTGATCCAGTGGGATTTCACTTAACCCACAAGACGAGATGAAGCACAACGATCTCGAGTTAGAGGTGGTGATGCGGCGAACTAGAGACAATTTGCGTCCAGAGTGTTGAAACACCTTAGAATGAGACATTCGTCTTAGGTGCTGAAGTGTTGATTTGTGGCTGACACCAAGCAGAATGCAAGACTCAATGTCAGAGGTAAAATAATGTGGCAAAAACTCATTCAATGACAAGCGCAAAATCTATAGCAATAAACTGGCTTAATTCAATTGTAAAAGTGGCTGAAACTGTGAGAAGAGCAATTAAATAAAAAATGAATAAATAACGAGTTAAATCAGATGATAAATTGGTAATTAATTTAACTAGCTGGTCATCTGGAAGAATAAATATTTGCAGGATATTGAAATCGCCTCATAATTATCATCAGCAAGATCAATGGGGAATTTATTATATTGTTACAATATGTCATGAAATAAACTGTACAACATAATGCATGTTAATCATGTTAAATTACCAATTTATCATTGCATATTAAATTGGGGGTGAATGTGAAAAATCGGGGGTTGCAAAAATACGATAAATATTCATTAGAAGCGACAACTGCACCGAGACTTTATTAATATTTCACCGAGAGCTGAATATTTATTTGGAGACTGATTTCAATTGAATCACCACTTCAGACGTGATCTTTCGCTGGGTGCGCAGGTAAATTGAAAAGATATGGCGGCAATTGGAGGGTCTCAGGGGGAAATGGTGGAAAAAGGAGAGGCAGAAGATAATTGAATTTTGATTGGGTCACTTTTGCCTGAACTCATGTTTTCTTCAAGGCATGGAAATCGCCTGTGAAGGGCGACTCGTGCGAGAGGCAGAGTTTGTCCACACAATTCCAAACTTCTCCCACACCGAACCCGGAAAATGTCTAACGGCCCCCAGGGAAATTGTTGAACTAAAAGCCAAGAACAATATCATACTCTTTGAGGCAATATTGCTAAAATGATTCACTCTTGTGAATTTCCTCCCTGCCTTCGAGACTCTCCTTTCATGCTCAGCTGCTGACACAATTTTTAATACGCCATCCGCATTCTTTCTTGTCAAGCATGCTGAATGGAGAGATCGCACGAAGCACTCCTAAGATAGCAAGCATCAATGGGAGCTTTTGCAATTCAATTCAGCATTAGACGAAATTCACTTGCAGGAATTGCATTCTGCATCTGCACACTTTTTAAATAAATCCCTACCATTGAGACATACTTTCTGTGCACGACAAATATTCTGCCTTCTTAGCCTCGATTTCCATATGTGTAAATTTCTGCAAAATACATAACGAAATATATGGTTAATCCTCAGTCAGTCCCGAAGGAAGTATTTTCAAGGAAATTCCCTCACATTGGCAGCCAGAGCAAAGCTCTCAACAGACGGATTTGAAATGTCAAATCAATCATAGCAAAGGGCAATTCGAGTGAGAATTTCCTCAATTCCCGATCGGACATGTGGCAAAATGAGCCGCTGAAGTGAAACAATAATAACTGGAGAAAATGAGAAAAATATCGATTCACTAATCTTCAAATGAATATTTTATGGCAACAAATGGAAAGACTAATGCTTTGGGTGCAATAAATTGACGGAAATTGATATGACAACAGCAACAACACCTCTTTGTGGTGAGCAAGGCATTAATTTTAGGAGTGATTTTTGGGTGCACGAGAGCCATTCTCGTGCTTTTCACCCATTTTTGGCGGCATTTTTGCGAATTGAATCTCATTGTCAGAGACTGATTTGGGTCATCCATCATCCCACAGAGTGTAAAATGTAATGCCGCGCATGATAATTGCGTAATATATAAAATTGCATAAATGAGATTTTCATGGACACACTGCCAGATTACTCCGCAGTTTTCCCTCCAACTGGGAAAATTTATGAAATGTGCTCTCACATATTTATGATGCTGTAATATCGTCTCTCTCTGTGTAGTGATGAAAGTGTATTCATATTATTTTCACAGTGAATGTGAAAAATTGAAAAGCGCGGTGGATATAAATTTACATAGAGAGTAACACTGGCGCAAACTTCCCGAATGGTGTAAATTCTGCAAATGGGTTTTCAAAGAGCTGTAAGGAAGAATTGTGGCATCAAAAATTAATTTGTCAAGCACCCCAAGTGTTGCGCCATCCCTTTCGCGACGAAACCCACTCATTGTCATTCCCATGGAAAACAATCGCGATGGGTGGGGGAGGAAAACATAGCAAAGTGGGAGACACTAGGGAATAATTAATTTGCAAAAGTGTTCATTAAGTATGCATCATAACAACGATATTTTTCATTAATTGTATACAATTAATTGTGGATAAATGAATAAGTAACAGAAATTCGGCACAGAGTCAAGTATAAACATCCATTTCAACCCTTTCGCTATATATTGTTCGACAGCAAAAAAAAGGAGACCCTCAGAATGGGTAGAGCGTGGAATATCGCGCTGAACACGCGCGATCGTATCTTTGTAGATGATGAATCAATTAAAAACAACCCCGGAGGAAACATAAATAAAACAGAGAGTCAATTTGTGTTTATGTGTTTGCAATTAAAATAATTAATTGGCATTCTCTTCTCTGCGAACAATAATAACTTAGAATTATTGCGACTCTTTCTCCACATATCATGCGAAGGC